CTTGTGCTTCGCAGCCAAAACAACCTCATTTCTTGGAAACATCTGCTGACATCAAGGGCTTTGATATATTACATGCATATTAATTAACAATAATTAAAAAGGTTAATTAGATATTAATTCCTTTCATTTTTTATATTAATTAGCTACATATATATTAACTTGAATATTAATCACTCAATTAATTTAGTTATTACCTGTAGGTAATACATCATTAATTTGCAAGCATCTAATTAATTGATTATTAATTTCAGATACATATTGAACTAATAATTAATTTGCATCTAATTAACCTATAATTTATTATTAATTTGTATATCATTTGCCATAGTACCATCCTAACTACTAACACATGTAGGACCCGTCATGGCCAGGTGGTTAGGACGCTCGACTCGCAATCTGAGGATCGCGGGTTCGAATCCCCATCCGACCAAACATGCTCGCCCATTCAGTTGTGGGAGCGTTATAATATGACGATCAATCCCACTATTCGTTGGTAAAAGAGTAGCCCAAGAGTTGGCGGTGGGTATTGATGACTAGCTGCCTTCCCTCTATTCTTACACTTCTAAATTGGGGACGGCTAACGCAGATAACCCTCGTGTAGCTTTGCGCGAAATTCAAAACAAACTGACACATGTCTCTTACGGGTTACATCATACCAATGAATGCATCTTGGCAATTATAAACACTGTTAGAAATGCAGTTTTATTTATTAATGATAAATATTTTTAAAGAAATGTTACGTAATAAATGTGAGTCTAGAAACTAAATTACATACAATCTAATGGGCTTTGCCACAGTAATGAAACTTTTGATCACATACGGAAATATCCAAATTTAAGACAGCACTTTAGAAATATTATGGTTTAAAACTCCGAAAATTGATACGTTAATACTAAAATAAATATATAATAACAAATTCGTTATTTCAGTATTTCGTGTCTGTAGTTGTTACGTGACTTGATGATTTGCGTGTTAAAATCATACTAATATATTGTACTCAATCATGTAAAAGATCATTAGAAGTGCATTTTGAATTAATAGGACATAAAAACATATTTTTCAAATCAGTTACTTTAAAAACGGGGTGTACAAATATATTGCATAAAATTCAACGTGTACGTGTTTTTACTATGTAAATAATGAATAACTTTGACTAAATTTAAAAAAATACTCATTCTGGATAAATTACACTAATTAACACACGTTAGAATACAAAAAACGAAGGCCTACCAAATTAATTACATGTAATTGACAATGTATATGCTGTAGTACGTGAAAGTGATATTCTTTGAAGAGCAAGAAATACAGATTTAAAAAAAAGCTTTCTATCTGATGTTTATTTAGAATTTCCTTATGAAATAACTTACGTTAGTTTCTAATAGAGCTCCAGTAAATGTGTACGGCACTTAGGTTGTTAACAAATTTAGGTTTAAATCATTTTCTTGGATGAGTAAACGCCGTGACATTGTGACAAAGAATACAGAGGTAAGTAGATTTAAGACATTTCATCGATTGAATTTGTTAAGCATATTATAATGAGGTTAACTCGACCAAGAAATAAAGAGTCTGCCACTTACAATAAAACCACTTTTACAGAAACAAGCTAGAAGGTAACGACTCGAGAATGTGATCCATTAAAGGAGAACATACAGGTATGTAAAACTTCCTCAAGACAGTGACAATACTATGTACTGCTACTGAGGCCAAAGTAGACATACACATGAGACGATTTGCTTTACCGTGAACTATAAATAGAATTGATAAAACCTACAAATATGAGCAGGAGCGTTTTATCTGTGCCCTGGATCATTCAATCTCAAATGTAAAATCAAACACAGAGATATCACTACCTTTTCACGTGGTTATCAAGTTTGCAACCTGTCAAGGCCATTTTAGCGGATCACCAAACTAAACAATTGTATGTGAAGATAAAGAAATCAGTGTTCTACCAAGGGTCATGCTTACAAGGAGAAACAAAGTTACCTGTATTGAAGTTGTTATGGCATCTTATACCACAACGCGAATAGTTAAAAACATAAAACATAACTCGGTATGTACATACATCAGCCAGACATGACATGAATTTAATCATATTAAAACATACTGTTAAAAAACTGTCTAGGTAATAGCATTAAGTAACGATGGAATTCGGAAGCCTACATGTATTAACAATTTGATATTATATTCAGCTTTTCTATAGAATATTTCAAGTGTTTTTCGTTATTGACTAGAAAAAACCAGTTGAAAGACGACGATTAGTGGTTTTAATGCTATACTTTTAACTTTGGTTCCAAAAATACTTTACTTGAAATAACTAACACAAATCTTTTCTTTTTTTTTACAGCATTATATAAATATTTACTTCGTATCTGTTATAACAAGTCTTTAAAAGGTTAATTTAAATTATAAATGTATAGTGTATATGTAGTAAAAGACAATATTTTGCATGCTAGCTCTTTGCTTCAAACAGAGCATTATATGTTTTCATACACTTTATCTGTGTACGATTGTAGAAGTCCGTGACTAATGGCGGTCATTTCGGAATCTGTGCATTAGAAACCGACGGCTACACATAGATACATTTACATTCCATTCGCCCTCTATACGTCAAGAACTCACAACTCACTAGATTGCGCAGGTTCAGTAATGACCAAGATTACAATAGAAAATCTAGCGATATGTTCCATAAACACAATAAGCGTTTGAATTCAGTTTTTCATAAATTCCATAGCTTAAATCATGTGAGTAATTGTAACACCAACACGCTGGACAATTTAGTGATTCTAACAACACTTGTTCAACCTCGCTTCAAAAAACACACTTCCTACTGCCACTAATCATAAAAGCATCCCTTTTACACTTACGTATCATTCATTCAACACACAAATAACTCGTATACTGCTTGATAACTTTACATCATAACGCAGGATAGTACCATCAGTCACATGTTTCTTAATAAACCACTAATTTCTCATCAACGAGACACTAACGTTAAACAATTCGTAGTCAACTTCCCAACAACACACAACCACCAAGTGATACACAAGTTGGTATGTACAATTGTCAGAGGAGCAGACGTAACCCTTGCCCTTAAGTTAAAGTA